ATTTAGAATAGTAAAGTTATTCAAAGTCATTAAATCTTTCTTATGGTTTTAATGTTTTGTGTTGGTTTAACTGAATTTTTCATACTTTACTTGTTTGCAGTTTTTTTGGTAAATTAAATGAATACTTAGTCTTGTTAAGTTGATAGGAGCTCTTCTTTTTTTGGGGAAGAACTTTTGCAACATTGACTTTTTTTTATGCAGGAGTAATATAAACAGGGCTGTCATTTTAGCTGAATGATATTTATGGATGGATAGGAGAAGCAGAAGAAAAATACCTCCCATCATATTTCTTAAGAATAGTATTCTTTGTACTGAGATAAAGCGGCCATTTCTTTTCGTATGCCATGTTCATTGAAGCTTCAGCAAAAGCACAAATAGACTATAAAGTACACATGAAACAATAACTTGTTAGTTCACAGAAACATAACACATCTGATCAGAGACATGACAAAACAATAACAAGCAAAAAACATGAGAGAACCATATAGAAACCTCATCAGTGTTGTACATGGAAAGGGCAACTCCACCAGCTCCAGTGAAGTTGAAAACCTCAAACTCGGTCTTTTCATCCTCCTTTCCTTCTGGTACTGGAAGCACAAATCAGATCTTATTATAAGAATATGTGTTAACTAACAGAAAGCTAACACGAAAGAAACTTAGACTCATCGCAATGCACTATTATTGATAAGTAGAGTAAGAACAATGGAAGGGAAATACGGAAAAGTAGTTAAAGAATGTCTTTACCAAACACCAGTTTTAGTTTTCCAGCTCCTTGAATAACTGTATCAGTTGCTCGGTACTGATCCCCAAATGCATGTCTTCCAATGCAAATTGCTTTATTCCAACCTAATGAATTAAACATTAATATAGCGTGCATGCTTAAGACATTTGAAAGAGGAAAACCTTAACATAAAGGATCCTGAGATTGTACTTGGGACAAGGCGGGGAATGTTCTTGCAAAGAATTGGTTCTCTGAAAACAGTACCTATACAAAAACAACCCAAAATTACCATTAACTATGCACTAGATTATACTTCTAAAGATTTAAAAAACAAATATCAAATAAAAAAATACAAAATAACCATTCAAGATGTTCCTAATTGTTCCATTTGGGCTCTTCCACATTTGTTTCAAGTTGAACTCCTTTACACGAGCTTCATCTGCAAGGAGCAATCACATCATATCATAAGCACATTAATATTCATATAAGGCTACAACAAAACAGTAAATCCAAGATTTTACATCACTTAAATGATGTGCCTCATTCCAGATACTAACCTGGAGTTATGGTTGCACACTTTATTGCTACATTATACCTACAATTATAAAATTACAAAAAAAAATTAAACATGAAATAAATGTAATGATGATTTAAACATAAATTAAGTACATCATATCTTCACTAATTTGAAGTTGGACCAAAATAAGTTTAAACATACTTCAAGGTAGCCTCTGCACTTTCAACAGTAACCTTATCATCTGTGGCATCACGGTGAGGGAGACCAAGGTCAAAGTACTTTATATCCAACTCCAAAAATGGCAGAATGAGCTATTGCACAAACAAGAGATCCCATAATATAAACAAAAATATACTTTTTGGATAGAAGATCTTATTGAGCAGTATAGCAATGATACCTTATCCTTGATTGATTGCCAGATTACTCTGGTCATTTCATCCCCTGGTTAAACATGTTGAAACAAAATAAGACAGACATACATTTTTTACAGCACTTTAATAAGTCAATACTGAAAATCACACTGACTCCAGGAAAAATTCAGGCCCAACTAAGATTGAAGTGAAAATTTCTCTGAACCAGAAAACCAAGAGATCATATCGCAAGACAAGTGCTAAAAATACAAATAGAGTTAGAAAGTGACATAAAAGGAGATGATGAGATGTTAACTTCTACATATATTCATATCATTCTATCATGTGTCCCACAAGATATTTGCCAAAAGTAGACATCCAAGTAAATGCAAAGGGGAAACGAGGATACTATTCCTAGGTCCCACGGCTTCATCCTCTCAATCAGAACACGTTTTACAGAAACGAGCAAGGAACAACTACGTTTTACTCCGGGGTAAGTACTAAGACAGATCCGAGCGATGCGAGTTGAAAGGAAAGCAGATATATCAACAGATCGGAAAAAACGAAGAAGACAAGCGAAGGAGGTGAACAGAGATCTAACCGTCCATCTCAACGATGGGATTGGCAACTTTGATCTTCTGGAAAGCCATTTCCGGTCGATCGGCGAGTTGAAATCGAGCAAGCCTGAGAGGCGCTGAGATTGAAGCAGAGAAAATCCGGCCGACGAGGAGGGCGAGTTACGGAGAAAGCGGCGTAGTAGGAGAGCGCAGCGGCGGTGTGGAAGAAGATGGTACGGATTGGATATTGAGCGCCTTAAATAGCGGGATGGCTCTCTGTGAATGCAGAGTTTGGTGAGCGTTAGAGATCGATCACTCTATACGACTCTGCTTCTGTGTTTTTAGACGGCTATTCGTCTCACTTCTATGGCATGTCATGCCATTGGGCATTGGCCATTAATATTATACTCCTTCCGTCCCATAAAGAATGTCATGGTTATTATTTTGATCTTTCGATAATTTTTATTTGTTTATTCGTTTTGGTTGACCATTTGATAAAATAAAATATTATTATCGCATCTTGTTTTGTATAACTTTTGATTGGTGTAATTTTTACTTTTTAAAAGAGATACTCTCTCCGTCCAGGAATGACGTTCCTACTTTGACTTTTGGTCATTTTTATGAGTGGTTGACTATGGGATGTAATGGTCTAAAATACCCTTCATCTTGCTAATTACCCCATCTCAATCTGCACCACACCAGACCCCATCGCCGCCATACCCCCCACAGCCACCAGCCCCATCACCACCGCCAACCCCACCCTCTCTTCCGGCATCCCCATCACCGCCAGTCCCTCTGTCACTGCCATTCCCCACCATCGCGGACATGGAAGAATAAGAAGACAGCGGAGAAAGGGAAGAAGAAGAAAGAGGCGGATGGTGATTAAGGCACAGATCTATTTAGATCTAGAAGAAAGAGGGAGGAGAAGAAGAAGAAGAAGGGGGAGGATCTGTACGAATCGGAGAAAAGGTTGGAGAAGAAGAAGAAGAAGAAGGGGGGACTGTGCGGATCGGAGAAAGGGCAGGGGAAGAAGAAGAAGAAAAAAAGGAGTAGGAGGAGGAGGAGAGGGTCTGCGCAGATTGAAGGGAGAGGAGTGGCGGTGCTGGAGGAGAAAGGAAGAAAAGAAAAGAGGAGAAAGGAAGAAAAAAAAGGAATCATCGATCAAAAAGAAGAAGGAAAGAATAGAAGGAAAAAAGAAAGAAAGAGAAAGAAGGAAGAGGGTAGTTTTGGAAGAGTTGTAAAAAATAAGTAGAATGGGAACATCATTTCCGGACGAAAAAAAAGTATAATGGGAACATCATTTCTGGACGGAGGGAGTAATATTTTTGAAAATATAATGATATTTTGTAGAACTTTTCATCTTATTTGAATAATAATGATTTTAAAAGAGATGATATTTTGTACGTCGTTCGAAATGTTGCAAATAATTTGGGACGGAGGAAGTAATACTATTGTATTTGAGGTGCCTCAGATTTTATTATTAAACACCAAACACCACGTTCCCTTCAGACATTGTTAAACAATATCATTGGATGACCCAGAAGGTGCAGATGTTCTGTTCGTAAAATTGATAATTTCTATCTTCTCTGATCCTCCGATAAACCTCCCATCCCACCATGCCTCAAACCCACCGTTCCACCTCATTCAATTGCATCCTCCAAGTTTAGCTTATTTTGGAGTCAAATTTTTGACTCCAAAGTGAGTTACACATGGGGGATGCAATTGAAGGGGGTGGGACGATAGGTTCGGGATGGGGTGGGATGAGAGGTTTACCGGGGAAAGGTTAGGAGATGCAGGAATTGTCAATTTTACAAATGGAGTATCGTGCGGCCACCGGGCGATCCAATGACATTGCTAAGCAATGTCATAGAAATCGCTACCATGATTAAAATAATACTACATCGTTCTGAAGTATTGTATAATCTTAACTTTTTTAAGTTAATCATTTTTAACCTTTCACATATAATTAAATAAAATGTATATTGTTATTAGTTATATGAAATAATATTTTGAAATTTTTTTATATGATACATTTATTTTTGCATCAATATATAATATAACTTTTATTTAATTTGGAGTCAGAATTTACTAATTTTGACAAAAAAAAATGGACACACTCTTAAACGGAGGGAGTATTTCGTTATGACATTGGTTTTATTAAAAGACATTGGTCTTAATTAGAATATACGGAGTATATTGTTGCTGTTGCTTGGGATACACTACGTGTATAAATAGAGTGCACAAATCTTGGTATATACCAAGCTTTATTGATTAAAATAGCATCCAGTTTTCATGACTTTGGCCTCAATGCTAAGAAGAGGCATTGGCCTAAATTGGAACATCTTACTAGTTCTAATCACCAACTACAAAGTTTAATTGCCACATTTAATTATACCTCCACCTTAATCCTCCCCCCACTACTCTCGTACCCTCCAAATTTAGTTGATTTCGAAGTTAAAAATTTGACCCAAAATTAACTATATTTGAGGGTGCAACTAAAGGGAGTGGGGGGGGTGGGTCTCAATCAAGCCAAGATGAGACATTTACCAGTAAATACTGAATAGGGATAAGTAATTTTACGAACTGGACATTGTAGGTGTTCATGTTGGGGCTAGTGTCCTACTATGACATTAAAAACCAATATCATTGAAACCTCACCCTTAAAATAATATGTCTAAAAAACGAAATCAGAATGTTATTCCCTATTAAAATAAGAAATGTCTCTAGATAGGAGTCAAAGGACATTAAAATATCAAAATAAAGGTGCCATTGTTTGTATGCCCCAAATAAGCGTTTGGCAATGTAAGCGTGAATGGTAGGAATGTGACGATGGATTGTGGTGGTAAATCACGAGAGTAAAATGTAAATTATTATTACCCATAATCAGAAAGGTACATCAATGTCAAATGCCGAATCATAATAATGATTCTGTGGTGGTAAATCACGAGTCAACACAAGTGAACGTTGACGACCTATGGCGACACTCCACCGACCGGCTCAGTGGGGCGTTACAATTGGCAATGACACTATTAGTTCTTAATTAGATCACAAAAAGTGCTGCTTTTACTTTGGCATTTCATTATTGATTGCCCATTTTTTTGACGAATTCTCCCTATTAATATAAGATTGGTTCTGCCCTTCCACTCAACATCTTGAATAACCAGTATGAAGAGGAGTGGTTGTATAGTTCATTCAGTTATTTCCCTGCGTGATTCAATGTAAGAAGGGTAATTAAACAGTAGAATCGTGAAAATGAGGGGAAAAAATAAACTAAAAAGGAGTAAAAAATTCCCTTCCAATTTGGCGAGGAAAAGAAGAAAACCAAATTTCCTTTCCTTCTTAACTCTTCGAACCAAACATAGCATAAATTTGAATTGTTCTCGAAAGCGGACGACAAATTTTAGATTGGGAGCGTATTAAAAATTTAAAAAATACGGAGTAGAAGTATAGTCAAGAAAGCTTACTTGATTCAGCTCTGAAACGTGCTTATCCAAGAATGCTTGAGCCAGGTTACTGAAGCTCACACTAACCTCCTTGGCTGCGGCATACCTTCTGATCACATCTAATACTTCTGGCTTCAAGATTTCTTCCTTGTTCGAAGCATTGCAGAGATAATACAATGCACCGAGTCCGTAATTCACCTGCAAAGGTAATACAACTGTGAGGATGCGAATTCGGTTCCCCTATGAAATCCTCTGCATGTTCAATTCAATTTTGATTTCTTCACTTTCTTCTTCATCTTGATATGTGCATGTGTGATCCTAGCATAATGTAGACCGGTTTACAGTTTTGTGGTCCTTCGCCGGATAGGGTCACATCATTAAAATTTTAAAAAGACTCGTGAGGCGTAGTCTATGCAAATACTCCCTCCAGATGTGGTTTTTATGCGAAGGAAGAAATAAAATAGGAATCATACGTTCTCAAGAAAATTTTGGGACATCTGAAAGGAAAAACGGGGATAAAATTATGGGACGGGAGTACTTATTCAATTCTTGAAGACAGAATGCAAAATTGTAGCTATGTTATAAGAAATCTAGTTTAGGCACTTGACTAGAAATGTGGTGTACATGTAGCATTTTCCTAGAAATTTTTGGTTTATGTTCATGGCTTCTTATATCATTTTCCCAAAAAATGCAGTCTCAGGCCTAGCTTACACATTCTAAACAGAGAAAACTTGTATGTATAGTTCAAAATTTTGGATGCGGTATAAATTTGGTGCAAGTGTGGTACACCAATCTTCTATTACAAAATGCACCATTCATTAGGGATAGTGTTTAATGTTTACTCTCTTTGTCCTCGAATCAGCTTCTCATTTTCTTTTGGCATGCCTATCAATAAAGAGAAATTGCTTGGTTAAGATTTATTCCGAAAAGGAAAGAAAACGCATCAACCACACAATTCATTCTTTCTTTAAAAGAAAGTGAGAGGATAAATACGAGCTCAACGAAAAACAAAGACAGGAAGCTAATTTGACCCCAAAAAAAAAAGCAAAAGCAAATGCGGAGGAGGGGTCTGAAACCATTTTCGGCCCCAACGAGCACTGTATGGGACTCAAATGGACGAATGTCATATTATGACATTGAACTCCAATGTCAAAAGAATTGCCCCGTTTAAAATATACTACATCCACCCCAAAAAAGAGTCCCATTTCACAAAGGCACCTCCTTTATATTTTAGGTAAGGATAAAAAAAATTGTTATAGACTTATAGATCGTAATTCAACTCCTTTTATAAATAAAGGTGGTTTTACTAAATTTATCATACGTAACTTGTTACTCTTGCCAATGACTTAATTTGGACAGGGACACGGAAAAACTAGCTTCTTTTGATAAAACTAACTTTTTTTGGCATAGCCATATTTTCTTCTTACCACAAAAAAGAGCTTGGTAATAATTATCTTATGTACCGTGTTTCTAACAGGACTTGATAGGCATTGAATAACGAGTGGTATCCCATCATTTTGAGTTACTAGTGCAGCATTAGTAGGATCTGCATATGAAACTGCACTGCATAAGATATGCATACTCAAAGAAAAAGCTGCAGAGCAAGAGCTCAGTTCTCGTAATGAAGTAAATAGTACCCCGGAGTATTTTAAGAGCATATCTGAATCACATAATAAAAAAGGGAGAAATGATAAGTAAAGTTATTATTTTATTTTTGTCTTTACCGTATAAAATACAAATGGAATATGACATCTTTTACATCATACGGAGTATATTTTAGATTTTCCCCGACACCCACTTGTGGCACTTCACTGGGTTTGTTGTTGTATATTTAATTTTCATATACTATCTTCGTCCCTAATTTATTACTCCCTCTATCCCATAAAACAAGTCCTCTTTCTTGACATTTTTTTGTTTCATAAAAGAGTTAAAACTTGGAGAGGGGGGAAAAAGAAAGTTAACTTTCATCATACATGTAAATTTAGTTAATCTTACAAAAATATGAAAATATAATTACTGCTTCCGCCCCTAAAATAAAGTAGCACATTGCATTTTCTTAAGGCACACTTCTCACAGTTCCTTTTAAGGAAAAGAATGTGACTAACAATATTTTTTCTTCAAAACAAATTCTAACCCCATTTTTTTTACTTTTCAACACTTTTCTTCAACTCCATGAAGTTAAAAAGTGATTTTATTTTAGGGACGGAATGAGAATAATTGATTGTGTCTATCAGTTCTACCTCACCAAAATTTAGAAGTTGTACGTTGGAGAAAAGGGTAGCTTCTAAGCTCTCCCTGAAACAAATTAAATAAAATGAAAAAGCTATGCTGAGCATCATTACCTGCACAACAATTACAGATCCCTCCAACACCAAATTCCACAAGCTTCTCATTAGGCTCAGTTAAACAATCCAGAAAAAGCTCTATAACATTAAGCTGTTTCAAAATCATAATCATTGTTTTAGTGACAGCAAAAGAAATAATCACCAAAAATGGATCAGAAATGAATCTGAACCTGGCGTAAAAAAGTATAATTGAATGGATCATATGCAAAGTTTGCCAAATTAGCCACAATCTGCTCTTTGGTTTCTGTAATGATAATAGCAGGAGTATATAAACAGACTATGGGTCAGTATGGATCATGGATGGATGAAGGGGAAGGACTTTGGAGGACTTTTTCAAAATTGATAAAAGGGTTATTGAAATGTTATGCAATGATGATAAAATCCGGCATAATCCTAGCTTCATTGGGGTTTGATATTTACGTCGTCTTACCCCTGTAAATAGAGGTGGTTTCCTATGCATTGTTTTATTTACTACCAAAACATCATAGAAAGTAAGAAGCAAAGTAAGTTCAATGCGTGATTTGATCTAGTACATTACAATCTTCATCTTTTGAAGATTCACATTAGGAAAAATCTGCAATGATCATGATCAAAATGCTATATGATCACCTATTACGGCACTTGTATATGGAGTATTTCTTATCCCTCCCTCCAAAACCCTTCAACCAAAGTGGCTCTAACATAATATCACAACATCTATCGTAAAGACAAGTAAACCACACTCTCTTCGTCCAAATTTAATTGTTCACTTCCTTTTCTGTTTGTCCAGTCCATATTAAATAAAGAAATTATGCTGAATTGTCTAAAATATCTTAGATATAGAATATGAATATTGTTGATATGAATGAGTGACTAAACGCATTTGAAGGACTTATTTTAACTCATGTCTTAAAAATGAGATCTTTTAGAAAGTGGACTAACTAATTCCGGATAGAGCCATAGAGGATGTATAAGTTATGCCAAGAACCATATCCTTAAGTTATGTACTCCGTATTAGTTTCAGCAGTCACGCAAACGTCTTAATACTCTGAGCCCAAACAAAGAAATTTTCTGAACCAAAAAAAGGGAAATGCTGAACAATTTAGAACAAGACACCGACGATGATGAAATCTACCATTCATAAGGAGGCTGCTTCACTGCAACAATTTATCAAGCAGTTAGTGGGCAGATTCTTAACGGGAAGATAAAAAAACTGTGAAATTAGCTAATGGCTGCTTCGTTGTAACAATCCATCAAACATTTGGTGGGCATATTCTTGACGGAGAGATACAAATTGAGAAATCAGCTAAGGGGGGCAGCTTCGTTGTAACAATTTATCAAACAGTTAGTGGGCATATTCTTAACGGCAAGATAAAAACTAAGAGTTTAATTCGCAATTTACCTTCATCTGATGCATTTTGAAACCGAGACACTAGCTCCTGAAGGTATTGCACCCTCGGAGTTCCATATTTGCCGGTACGCTCTTCCTGCCTTTGAACGTTGGTGAACATTTCAAGAAACTGTGGATTTTAAAGAGCAAAAGATCGAGCGATCCCCTGCAATAAGCTCTGGAACTAACTATTACCAGGAGCTCATAATAATAACAATACCCATAAAAAATTTGAACATTTCTTTTTTCTCTTTTTGAAATAAAAAAAAATCACTTTCGATTAAAAACAAAAATGTGAATTACACAAAATATTATATCTCTCTCACCTGAATCATAGTCTTTTCGTTCCAATTTAAATTACATGTTTAATATTCATAATGTTAAATTTTAACCACTTTCAGTACTCATTTTTTATATACTCATTTAGTAAAATAATATGGTCATATCAACTCAGATTTTATAAAACTTTATATGTAGTTTTTAAATATTAAATTTTAATTTTTAATTTTCTCACCAGTTTGTATATTAAACAAATGAAAAATGATTTCAGTCACGCATTGTAAATCGAAAAAGAAAATTTATAGTGGGATAGAGGTAAGAAAAATTCAATATTAACTTAGGGCATGTTTGACCTAAAAGTTAGAAACTACTCCCTCCGTCCTAAAACTTTCTTCCCGTTGCGCAAAACGAAGAAAAATCCCAAGTTTTTTCAATCTATTTTATTTAAATATTGGTATAGAAATAAAAAATAAAACATACATATTTAAAAACTACATCAAAAGTTCAACAAAACAAGTGGTGACTAGAATATTTTATTTTATCATATAGGCCATGAAAAAACACAAATAAATATAAATTCCCGTGAAGTTGGAATAGTGCTCTGGGAAGAAAGTTTTAGGACGGAGGAAGTATATAGGATAAATGTTTCAAAAAAAATATTAACTTAGGGGACGTTTGACCTAATCTTTAGTATTTTCAAAATTAATACATACCATTAAAATTTTAATCAAAATCTAATGCTAATCAAAAATATTAATTCCCAATCAAGGCCTAAATGTTCTTATAATAATACGTCCATAATTTTATTTTTTAGTGTTATCTCATGTATTGCAAATTTTTATGTACTTCATTTTTAAATATACGGAGGATTACTTTATTTTTAAATTCTATATCAATAGTTAAATAAACTAAATTTAAAATAACTGCAATAAAACATCATCGAAAACACGATGATTAGAAAAGAGTTTTGTTTTTTTTTTGTTTGTTTCAGGCAATGACTCAATAGTTTGAATTTTCTTTCCTTAAGACAAATTTCAACCACAAATGCACAAACAAATTATAATCATAAGTTGCTAAAGACCTTGTAGTCTATAACAAGAAATTGGATGTTTCTCTGTGTAAACAATTCTTATCAAGTCAACCAATGACATATTTTATGTGCTTATAAACTACTCATAAACCAGAAAAAATAAGTAAGTTTTAATTATTTATTTTTAAACCAGTTTTTTTGTTTCTCCATATACACATAGCATCTTTGTTATTTTTTTCAACCGAAGTAAATAAACTCTAATCATCAACTAAAAATTACGGAGTAATAATGAAGGCACTAAGAATGTGCAAGGTGGGAGGGAAGTGGGAATTCATTAGAACTTGGAATGTCCATCTTTTAAAACTTTGGAGGGTGGTGGTAATACAGTAAAAGTCACAAGAACAAAACCAACGCTCTTAAAACGCATTATTACAAAATTCGTCCTTTTATTTTTCTTAACACCAAAATTTACAAGCACCACAGCTCTCAAAAAAAAAAGAGACACATTTAGCCTTTCAGCTCAGCCCCTGGGATATTCTCAAGAGAAGGAACTGCTTTAGAAATCCTGCAACATAAACGGAAAAGAAGCAAAAGCCATATGTTAGAGCATGTCTAAAGTTGTACTCCCTTCGCCCGTTTTGACTTTGGGGCATATTTAAGGAAGAGAAAAAATAGAGTTGACTTTTCGAAATTGTCATTACTTTTTAGGAGGGGTGATGATGAATGAGAAGATAAGATGGAGAAGAGTGACTTATTTTAGGGATAGTTTAGGTATTTTACTCTTAAAAGTTTACGATAACAAGAAACAGGCAACTTATTTTGGGACGGAAAAAAAAGGAAAACATGCTAAAATGGGACTGAGGGAGTAGAAAGCAAGCACACAATGGCTGAGTGAAAAGCACATTAGCATACCGTGTTTGCAATGACAGCTTTGTCTTGAATTTCTAACTTGCCAGACTTTGCAGTGATTGTCACCTTCCCCTGAGGAAAAGAAAATAAATTAGAGAAGCAAAAAAGCAAGGCTACAAGAGAGAAAATGGCAAGAGGAAATTCTCTCTTTCTTCTATCTTCATTCATCCACGCAATGCCAACAGATCAGTCGGCTATATGCTTTTTCGTACCTTCAAGGTAATGTCAGCTCCGAACCATACATCCCCTACCACCTTTAAGCTGTCCAGTTCGACAATGCTGGGAATGCTCTTAAAACGAGCCAAAAAGTCGGCAACCTGAAATGCATGTGTTCACTTATTAAAAGGATATCAATAATTCACATGCTGAAGAAGCTAGATAAACATAAACAACGCTCTTTGATTGAGTCATTATTTCTCAACCTTCTTGAATTCGGGTCCTAAATCAATAGAAGGGTTCGAAGGATTAGCACGGACTGGGTTCCGGATGACATAGCCGTCATCAGTCAAGGTGTAAAGATCAGACTGTGAAATGATGCAAATGAGAGTTAGTGAGCTTAATTTAAGCCATTTCTATTAGTTTAAAGTATACCAAAAATTAAATAGAAGACGAAACGTAACCTGGACTAGGAGTAAATCAGAGGTTGCTTTTACAGGAAGGAAGCGGGACCGGGGGACGTTGACACCGATACCACGGTCAAAGAACTGATTGAAAAAATATTTAATCAGATAAATTTTCAAACAAATACAAAATGTTAACAAAAATCGAATTTGAAGAACATATATTTGAACTATATAGTAGCATTAGAAAAGTATAACACCTTAATTGCAGCGCCAGCAGCAGTTTCAAGTTGAAGAACTTTAACCCCATTAACTTCCTAGAAAATTAAAAATAAGTGTCACAATCTGAATCAAAATACTATTATACTGCATTATTATATTAGCACCTCAGTTTGATAATCTGCAGTTTAATGTTGTTTGCTTCAGATACTAATTTAACAAATACTACATTCGTCCCAAAATAAATTTCACACTTCTCCTTTTTCCTATCTAGGAATGATATATGTGTCTCACAATCTCTCTCTAATTAAATTTCAACCGCCTACCTTTTATTTTTCAACACTTGTTTTAAACTCTGTGCAATCACACACCGAAGTTTAGTTTATTTTGTGACAGGGTAGTATAAGTATGTGCATAAAATGATCAAATTACCCTTCCAATTACAATAAATGAGATCTATCACAAAATTAAGAGGACATAATTAGAAGAAAACAAATAGTTCATGTAGGAAAGAAAATGACTATTCTGAAAGAAAATTCACTCCAAAGTGAGACTTAGTTAGAAATGGATGGAGGATCATCATGTTTAAGAGCATAATTACTACCTTAGGGTTGGGAATGATCTCCATCTTCAGTGCATCTGCTTCAACAAGCCTTTTAATTGCGTTCAGATTCACCCACCTGTAAATTGTTAGACAAATTTAAGTATCTCCCATGCAAGCAAGAGGCAGTTAAAGAAATAATGTTAAGAACAGGTCTCAAGCCTCTTACAAATTGTTGGTGTTGAAGATCTTGAACTTTTCTATTGACTTGAACTCATTAACCTACATGGAAAAGGTATGAGAACACCAATTAGATAGGATTTGAGAATATGGTTTGCATGTACAGCAGTCATGCACTGATATAGAACATTATTGATTCCACAGTAACAAATACAATGAGATAGGACTTGAGAACATGGCAGATAGTACAGGTTTTGGGCCAACCCAAAATCCAAATTTGTGGAGCCCTGGCTCCAAAAATGTTGGAGAATATTGTTACAAAGCTCCACATACACTCCGCATAAGCAAAATAGAAATGGTAAAGGTTGAACCGTTGAAAACAAAGGAAAATGCCAAAATCTAAGAACTTACATGTTGATCAGGGACCTGAGCTATTTCGAGAAGCTGTAACAGACAAACAAAAGAAGTACCATTATATTACTACTATATTGGTATTTACTTGCACACAAACAAAATTAGTAAAAACTCATAGATAACAACATCATTATCAACACTTCAACCCCCAATTATTTGAGGTCAGTGGCATCAAATTTATACTGCTAATTAATTGTTTGAAGTGTCTTAACACTAAAAAACTCATGGATACAAGTTTTATTTAGGAACTGTTTATGATTAAGGTTTGCATATTGGATAATTTTTAATGGTACAGATTAAATGCTTGATGCTAGAGCTAATGCCAAACGGAGCCATACTATATCCCCATTCAAATATTCCATTTCATTCAAAAAGTAAATATGTGGCACCAAAGTAGTTCCCCAAAAATGTCACAAACAAGTTGCATATGACAAATTTAATAAAACCAACAAAAGTAATTCATATAAGTATGAATCATTATTCATAACAGGTGTCCTTACAACATCTAAAAGACTCTACTTTGGTCAAATACGACTCTTTTTCGGATAGAGGTAGTACAATGGTAACAACCTAGAGTTCTAGAGAGAATCACCTAAAGACGTTCCTGAGCAAGGCAGAACTTTTGAATGACATGACTGTGAGTACTTATTGGAAGAGGGATGAAAGAAAATTGGTACATTTGGTTTGAAGTGACAAGAGATAAAGGATATACCTGCACTTTACCATCATAAGAAATTAGGGTACCACCTTTGACGTCAGCCAACGTTTTGGGTGTGACCTGCAAGGATATAAAGTATTAACTATTAACAATACCTTATACAAGTTCCACATTACATATTTAAAAATATTTACTTTGTTTATTATTATATCTGAGTAACTGCACGGTAAAAGCTATTTTAAAATCTTAAAAAAATAAATAAAAATAAAGCAATACCTCCATGCAATACTCATTCTTGTTTTGGATCAAATGGTTTAAAATTTCTGTGATAGTACATTAAGGAAGTGACGCAGTAATGAAACTGAAGCTGATAGTAGTTCTAGGTAGTACACTACAAAGGATACTTAGATCAACCACAGCACCCAAGTTATCTGAATTAGCAACAAAGACATATTCCTTGCCCTGCAATCAGTTTAAATTGATAATGAAACCTACAAGTGAAAATTTTCATAAGATGCATTCTTTTGCAAAAGAGTATATAGTCATGAACACAAAAACCTGTGACAACAGGAGATCAAGTTTTCCACTGTTCATCAAAGCTGGGAAAACATCTCCATGACCTGGTGGGTACCTATGTGCACAGACACAAATCACACAATGCATTATCTAACATGCTAATAATACAAAATGTAAGACTCAAAGATAAATAAATAAATGTCATATTCAGTAACATAAAAGATGGATCAACAATAATATATATAGGCAATGCAAATAGAAACTTTGTGTGGAAACCAACCAACAAAAGAAACTCTCTAAGGTCCAACAAGGGGGGTCTAGGTTTGTGTGGAAACCATGAAACTATAAATGCTATATTGCTATGATAGCAGAGAGCACAATATTGGGGCTATTTAATCTAAATAAATAAGATATAACTAAGTAATGATATGTATATTAGTTTAAATACCATCCATCCTTTCCACTAATTCCTTTGCATGGAAGTGGTGCAAAGTCTTCAACAACAAGACGAGGATATTGGCTCTGTAAGTATCAAAAACAGTATAAATCAATCCGAGCCATGAATTAAGAGAATCAACAAGGACGCTTTGAGGTTAAAAAAAATTGAGATACCTGGTTGAAAGTGTGGATCTCTATGTTGGAATTTGAATATTTTTCAATAATCTGTGGTTCACATACAAAACCAATGCATTAGCATGTGAAGTCAGCATGGGGATGTGAAGAAACAGATCAAATTTAACACTTCATATGAGAATAATATGACCTTCTGTGTATCATCATGAGTGTTGAATGAATTCATCAAAAGCAGAGGCACCTTGCATCCATACTTGACGTTGAGGCTCTACAGGGATGAGGAAGTGTTAGAATTTAGAAACATGCAAAGATTGAAGAAGTGCAAGCACAAAAAGAGCGATTCATTAAGCTATTAGAAGGCAAAAAAATACCTCAATTTGCTTGACAATTAAGTCAAGGAATGTCAAGCCATTACGGACTTCAATAACTGACCTATAACACAAGAGTGTGTTTAGAAAGAACTCCATGATAGATCAAATGCTAGAGTAACAACTACGACCAAATGGGTTAGATATGAATCAAGCTATCCAAGCTTTCACAACAGTCCAGGCCCCTTAAAGGCCGTTACCCAAGCACCCACTTCCACTAAATGTTCTTCATATCCTCATTTCAAAATATTTTAGTAGAGGAAAAAACTTGTACTTTACCTTTGGGCCAAACACAAAGGTAAGAAATCTTAGTACATAAATTCACACACATAATTTATAAAGTTTTAACGAATCTTCTGAGCCAGCTAAAATACTACTACTTACATTTTAGTGTTTGATATTGAGTAAACACGAGTATGTTCTTTGCCTGATCTTCCTATATAATAAGTACACAAACCTTTTATTACTCAAATTTAAATGTTGTAGGATGTATGCATACATACTTTGGACCAGTGCACCCCATTGTAGTTCCCAATCCTCCATTAAGCTTTAGCACAACAAGCTTGTCCAAAAGCTTCTTGGTTTCTGTTGGATCTGCAAGGGATCAAACACTTTAAGAATCTAGATAACATTTCATATTGGTATGAGGATGTCTGGATTCTGCAAGCAAATAATTGATCTCAGCGAACTGATCGATGAATTATTTCCCCACGAAAGCTCAAGATAAAAGAAGAGTAGAGAAGAGTACCTTCAGAGAGAGGTGCTAAATTGTCAAATGGAACAACCACCTCATCAGTTGGAGTCTGGATCTTGCTCCACTCAATAAACTGGGCTTCACCGCTGTGATTTTCATACATCAAAACATATAACAAGCTTATATTTATGAATAAATATAAAAATATTTGCGAAAACATTCCACATTTCTCCAATGCATGAGCTCTCTAAGATCATACTAATATAAAAACACATTTAAAAGCATTTCATCGCTTCAGCTCAGTATAATCATGTCTCGATTAAATGAAGTAAAATGACCGGATCACATTTGGTGATTCGGACAAGTGAAATAACGTAACGACTCACATCTTTAATGGAGAAATAAATAGCTACAAGTAATTAAAGAGTACCTTAAATAGCGGGAGACGAGATCAATAAATCCAGATTTCTCGTTTTCACTGCAAAAAAAAAACAAAAACAAACCAGAAGATCGCCTGAGCGATCAACATACAGATCGAAATCAAACAATCAGAAGAACGGATTGAGATTGCACTTGCCTGATCTGGTTAAGGCTGGAGACGGAGGCCTTGAGATTCGAGAGCTTCTCTGAATCGGCGTGATTGAGAGTAGCGGTAGCCATTGCAGAAACCAGAGAAAAGCTCGGATCCGGAGAGAGGAAGTATCAATCTATGGAGTTTGTGGGAGAACGAATGAATGGCTCGATGATGGAGGAACCGAGGAGAGACGGTGCGTGTCTGTATATATATCAGTCTGAGCTTGGAAGGAAACAGGTGGCGGGTTGAGGAGAAAGGAGAGCCCAACGGAATGCTCGTTGTTAATCAGTGGTCTGTTTTTCACGCCCTCAGGTGTGTTCAGATATGGAGAATAAACCTTCCAAATGTTCGAATATTCAGTTTTTGGACATACTTTTTGGTAAAAATGTCATAATCTCATAGTTACACATGCAATTTTCGTCTATGAAAACTACGTGTTTATAAATAATTATCGTCTATATGCATACAAATTTCATCTACCGTGTTAATCATAATAAGTTTCTAGTATGACTCAATATTTGATATAATGGTAGGTAAGTAAGACATATTTTGTAGATTTTAAAAATCTATTGATATCGAATTTTCTTTTAGTGTTTGATAGAAATTATCTCCCGAAATACAAATATCAATACCTTCATAAAAAAGAGAATTTCGAAATCTCTTGAATTAGGAAACAACCCTCAGCTCGACATGAGCTACTATCGACCTATTGTCGTCGTCTATCTACCATCGTTCCTTTTACTTTGTCGATCACTCATGTCTATTACTAAAAACTATTATTTCAAACCTCTCTACATACTTTCATTTCAGATTTTTAGATCTCATATCAATATTCTTAAATTTTAAAAGACATATCATATCAATCTTTCAAAATTCACTGAGTTCTTAATTCTTTCGCTTCAAATATACATATAACAATACTTTTTACTCAATTGACTACTTACTACATATATTACAATTAGGTTGTCAATGGGTCGGGTATAGACTCGGACTCGTAGGGTATAAAACCCTTAATTTCTAGCGAGTTTAGGAATATGAAAAATAATATTTACCTGTGCCCGAACCCGTACATGTTGTTTAAAAAATAAAAGATCGGGTATAGGACGAATAGTCCTAGCCCGTTTAAAATCCGCACCGGTTAAATTAATAGATGATATTAAATACGAGTATTATAAAACGTTATCCCCGTTCTTCAATACTCTCCTTCTTCGCTGATTGCATGACTTCAAAATCTATTTGTATATATTTCACCACATTAGAGTTATGTACATATTGGTTTATGCAGTAGTATGAAATAAATAGTTTGGAATTACTTGTAATTTTATAAATAATATTATTGCAACATGAATGAATGTGACTAGAAAGCTGACTATGAATATAAGATTTTTGTTGCAGATTTTTTTATTAAAGAAAGCTAATTTTTGTTGAAATAACGTATTAGTCTTATTTTTATTTTATTTAGTTAAGATGTTTTTCATTAATTGTACGCCCAAATTAAGAATCTAGTACTAAATTTTTTTCAATTATACAAAAATAAGAGACGTTAACTTTTTTTACAGGTATACCCAATCCGATATCGAGGTCCAAATCTAAGAATAAACTTCAAGACCCATTGGGTAAATGAATATGAGCCAGGATCAATTTTTTATAAGGGTACAGGTATAGAACACTATGAACCGGTTCGAACCCGACCCACTGATATGCCTAGTTACAATGTAGAATGTGTCCTTACATAAATAAAAATATTTGTTTATATGTGACAACTACATTTTATACGTGAAAAGATACATATTCATGATGCAATGTTACTAAAAAAAATTGCTCTGAGGTACCCTCGGTTTTCTGGTAATGACTTCCAGATCTCACAATATTTGAAATATACTTCCGGGTACCCTCAATTTTCTAGTAAGAATACTCAGGTCTCACATTATTTGAAATATACTACGTGGTCCTTAAAATTAGTGGTAATGTAGACTTTGGTTATATATTCTGTCTCTTAGACTCTTAGGATTAAAAGTTTTGATACTTTGACAACTACTAAATTTTAGCTTCATAATCATTATTTTATTAAATTTAAATAAAACCTTCAGTTTCTCAAAGTTAAAGAACTTTCAATCTCAACACTTAAATGGATGGAATATACCCTCGAAGACCCCAAAATATATTTCGTATAATGTGGGACCTAAGTGTTCTTACCAAAAATTGAGGGTACCCTAAAATATATTTCAGATAATGTAGGATCTAAGAGTCATTACCAGAAAATCGAGGATACCCGTGAGTAATTTTTGAATTTTAGAGGGGGAAGGCGAGAGAGGATTTCAAGGAAATTAGGTAATAAGAACCATTAACTTTATAATCATTCTAAACAAACCAAGTCAAAAGAATCATAGTAAAAATCTAATTACGGAGTATTTACCATCTCTTTTTGAAGTTAAATTACCCATTTTAATTTTCAGAGTAAGCATGAAATTATTTTTAATTAAACTTATATTATTATGTATAAAATAAAAAAATAAAACTTTTATATTTAGAAACTATATAAAAAATTTGCAAAAAAAATGACACAACTAAAAATCTATATATTCCGCCATTGGCTAAAAATTCATGACTTTCCCATAACAGATTGAATGGTATGAACTTCCCCCATTGTACACAACAAAAAGAAAAAAAAAGGTACAAGATGTTAGGTAGCTACAAGAGTGAGGTTACTCACTTGCCCCTTTACAAGACATCAATCAATATTCAGGCAAGAAACATGTTCTGGAAAGGACGATTGGAAGGAAGCCAGAAACGCTTGTGCTCTATAGTTTACACCATTATCAACAAAATCTTCGGTTAGCTATAAAGTGGCAGAGGCAGGCAGGGGGATGCTAGGGCATGTGTCCCCCGAGGCAATTCTGACAAGTGTCCTCCATTTTTCAAAAAAATGACGAACCCCCCCCCCCGACTCTTTAATTTCGGTCGTATGGTCATTGAAAAGAGATCAATTAGACTTAGATCGCAAATTGGTGGGAGAGTTAGGAGCATGCACCTGGTACTTGCAAAAGAATCGAAGTCAGGTCTTACCCCCTTAGCACTCGTTGCTTATGTCAACTGTGCACCGCTCACTGACATTTTCAATAATTTCAGCATGGTGGGGCCCCCCTAGAACGCGATCCTGCCTCCGCCATACTGGGCCTATAAACATAATCGGGTTGGGTGTTCTTCTCTCTCCTCGCCGGGACCGTGGTTAGCTCGTTCCGTTAAACATCTCTTGTAAGGCAAAAACCCATTCTTTCTCCTGGTGGAGCTTGCGCTGAGTTTCATCTTACTAGTCTCAAATGATCTGCTGCTAGATGAGGAGACTTCCATGTGCTTTTCTTGGTCTTCTTCCCTGTCTTTGTTTTCAAACACTGGCTGTGGTTTGATTGGGATTGGACCATGCACTTGTTGGGCACTACTAGAGGAAAAAGACACGGCTGTGTATGGGAGTGCCCACGGCAGGGAAGGGTAATATAGGGAATCTGAAGTTCCCAGCATAAGTTTCACCGGAATGAAGCCCCATGGAAGTGTTTGTGATGTGAGCTTGTCTTCTTCTACTTCTTGAGTTGGCAGCAGTTCCACAGAGGCGCCAGAAGTAGGAGAAGACGGCTTATGAGAGTCGGTTACTAATACTGTCCTTCCAAAGAGCTTCAAAGAGTGTGTAGATGATGCCTCAGTCGAAGAGTCATCAATGAATCCGTTTTCTTGAGGGAACAGCTCTAGACTCTGCACAATTGGTTCATGGGATACACACTGAGCAATAACCAATGTTGTAAAAAGCGATAAGCTCTCCTAAAAGGGCATTACAAAGTGGACGGCTTGTACATTTTCAAATGTGGAATTGGCTTTCAAGATGGTAACTCGTTTAAAATATGCCATTGTTTTTCAGGCTTGTCATACTTTAGTAGATGATCTTTAACAACTAAATGTTCATTTGAGAACATCTTCAACGTTTAGCCTTTAATGTTTTCAAAGTTAATCTGCATCATTTAAAAATAATCCAAAATGTTAACGCTAATTGAAAACAGTGTTCCCAAACGAGGCTTAAAATATATAAGAGACTTTTACGATGATGCCCTTACTACTAAAAGATATTAGATTCAGTTACGTACCACGAAAGGCTGCTCATTCGGACTAGGATTAGTATCCACATGGATATGTGAAGAATAAGATCTGCTCCCTTCTACAGCCAAATTGCATTGTTCAGAAGGTATAACCAAACAAGACGATTCCTCACCCAGAACTGATGAAACAGGATGTGGGCTACTACCATTAAGTCCTGAGTTTGTCATCTCTTCTCCTTCTGAAGAAAGTGGGGATAATACAGAAGCAGGAGATTGGGTTTCCCGTTTCTCTAGGGTGGAGCCTGCGACTGGAGTTACTTGTTTGCGAGGATAAGGGTGCAACGGCTTCCTTTTTGGACGAGGAGGGGGTATTTCAATCGGGTTAGAGGAAATGACATCACTGCCCTCTGTCTCACGAGCAACCTGACCAGTTAAAGGACCACTAGCATAAATAAACAAACATACTATGCACACACACATATATATATACTTGCAGGCCTTTGAGTCATAGAAGCACGGCTTACTTCAAGAGGCTGCTTGTATTAGATTATATGGTAGAGAATAGGAAGTGATATTAATAGCTGTAAACCTTGGAAAAAAACTTCTGGGCATGGCTTCTAATCTGAACTGCTGTTTTTGTGCCCACATGATCTGAACACAACAAGAAATTCCTTAAGGATATGTTCGGTAGAATGTAAATGTAATGTAGTGAAATGAAATGTATGGTACATAATCAAACCCACATGTAAACTTATTTTATATGTGAATTTGATATTTGTTTTGAAATATACAGAAAATACAGAGTAATAAAACCAACATCAAATCAAAATGTATACTCGGAGTATATTATGCAGAGTATTATGAAGTACAATATATAATTACATGCCATTATTGAACCACGCTAAGTGCAAGGGAGATCAGGATGTGTGAGTGGTGTGACGAGAAAGGAACAACACAAAGTGCAAAGATTTTACCTTCGATGCGCCTCCATGCCCTACCATACAGTTTCAAGGCTTCAAGAAATTTGTTATGCTCTTCTTCTGTCCATCTTTCCCGTTGTTTAGTGATGGTGTATGGTTTTCTTACCTATTTAAATTTAAATGTAAAATAGATAGATGAGTAAACTCTGTCGTTGCCTTAATCTTAACTTCCTAACTGTCTTGAGTGTGGAAGCATGAAATTTATAATCCCAATCAATTTGTCAAAAATTCTATTTGATTATATAAGGTGAGGTTTGGTAGATTGTTATAATGTGTAATGTAAGGTAGTAAATATATTTTTATTGCCTATACAATACAAATACATGTGATTACATTACAAACCAAGCTTTAGCATTGCCATCTTTAAGGTTATTTCTGCTATTGACAGATGCTCATGTGTAAGGAAAACATTTTTAGGAAAACATTTTCAAAGAAACATTTTCAACTGCCAGTTAATACAAAGTATTTTGCTGGAAATTGTAGTAATATGAGATTTCAAGGCAAGTTGCCACTTGGGTCTGTTTTGAACTCCTAAGCCTTTGGCTTAGAATATCTTGCAGAATTATAAGATTCCAACCTTAGTTTGAGTATTCGATGTGGGACTATATCATCAATAGAAATAAGCTGAACGTAACAACGGTTCAAGAAACACAAACCTTTAGAGCATGCTCATGCAAATGGGCAAGCTGCCGGATGCTCTTAGACTCTGTAATCCCTAAATCCATTGAACCATGGATGTTGGTCCCTCCATTTTGATCCTGCAATGTCCATAAACAACCCCATTATCAAACATATTCCTGTAGTTCAAAACATATGAAAGATCAAGAACATTTTTGAACCAAAAATCCCAAAATACATAGAGCATTGGGTTCCAACATTTTGCATATGCTTACATTGCTAATCATGACTAAATATGTGATTATTAGAACCAAGATGATCATTACCTTTGATTAGACTTCTACTCAGTATTTTGGAACCAGACGAAAAAAGAAAGATGAAATTTTGTTCAGACATACAAAGTAGTAATTTTTTAAAAATCATTTTTGAGCAACTTAAACTTGTATCTTCCATTTACAGCCAAATCAGGCAACTCCTAATCCAAAACATGATCTCTAAACCTGTAAATCCGGTATGAAACTACAAACTATGGAAGTAACCTGAAGTTGTGAAAGAAAGAAGAAATGATGGGCTAAAAAAAGTAATAATACTACATTTTATACAGCATTTACAACTATCTGATCTATGCTGAACAGTTGCCATCTAGCCAAAATAAATTTAAACAAGTGACATTTCTATAATTAGGGGATGCATAAAACACCACTTTCTGTAACCAATTTTTTTGGACTGTCCAAAAAAAACACCCATTTGAGTCATAATCTTTTTTAGTAATAATCACAAGATTTCTTAATCCTCTAAACAATCATTTTCCTAACAACTTTCTTAAAGTCAAACAACACTTTTCTTAAGTCAAACGGACACAGTTTTTTTTTTTGGGACAAGGGGAGTAAATCTCATTTAGCAATAAATATGAAAAAAATCATTTCTAACCTCATAAAAATGGAAAGACTAATTGATCCTTCTATCACTATAATTTCAAGTTCTGTTTTAAGCACTTGAAACTCGGATAACTTCAGAATAATCTAGTACAGGAGGGAAACCAATTTTGTAAAGTAAGACTTCTCATAGATTAAGCAAAGAATCTGACCTGTGTAGTCCTTTCAGCCGGAACCATTACTTTCCGGCAAGCTCCGTCCAGGGCTGAAGTTCCGAACAACAGACAGATAAAAAAAAAAGCGATCTCAGAAAAAAATGGATCTATTAACGAAGATCACTAATCATCCAACTGCGATTCCATCTCTTCCAGCTTTGAATATCCGAAAAGTTCAATTCAATTGCTATAAACAGGGTGAAATTCGTCTTCACAAGCAGAGCAGTCTAAAATCCGGGACTGGCTTATACAATTCCCTCAAAAAATGAAAGGGAGATGCTCTGATGGAGCTTGATTCAAGTCAAATCCAATCGGAAATGGTAAAATAGAAAGGAAAAAAAAGGTAAACTTTGTTTTTATGGATATAAACAACAGAGATCGAGCTGCTGAAAGCGGTTTCCCGGCGACCGGAGAATCTCGATACTCCGATCGCGGAAATCACCGAGCTGGAAATGCAGAGAAGGAGTAAAGCAGAGGTTGAAGAAGGAGGAGGGAGATGAAGAGAAGCTGAAGAAAATATACTGGTTGGAGAGAAAAGCGGAGAGCGCCACGTCAAGGGGGCGAAGTGCAAATATGTCACAAATGTGGGGCTAATGAGAAAATGTGGTGGAAGTGTCGAGAAGTCGCCAGGAGTTTGTGGCTGAGATTCAATGGGTCACCTCCACACAGGGCTTATTCATGCCAGGCTGCCACGCCACCACTCATTTTTTCTTATCTTTTTTTTTTCTTTTAAATTGTTTATTATTCCCACTTTTTCCACGTTAGCTCACCCTTATGTCCAGTCACTGGCACGATCCCGGTCCGGACCGGTTCTTGTAAGTGTTACTCCGTATTAAACTTGGATGGGACCAGGTGTGGTTTGACCGGTCGAACCGTGACGCAAGTACAAAACCGGTCCGGTCAAATCCCCCAAAACTCATAAAAACTCGAAAAAAACTGGGTCAACCCGAAAAAATCTGAATTGACTCGGAACTCGTTTCCCCACCGGGTCGACCTCCGGTCCGGGTTTAAAATTATTTATTTCTTATTTTGGAATTGTTGGTACTCATTCCACCTTAGAGCATTTTGTCCAATTTTTTTTATAGTAAACTAGATGAATTTTAGAAAAATAATAAAATATAAATAAAACATAAAAAAATCAAAAAATAATACCTATATGTTTTTATTTCTAAAATAAAATTTATAATATCAATAATGTCAAAATATAATATCATAAAATTATAGGATGCCAGTATAGTGTCACATATATTAGTGATAAAGACTATATTTTACTTTTATTTTGGGTTATTTTTTCAAACTTTTTAATAATGAATTACATTAGATTTGTGCTACATATTTATAAAATGAAATAAAATTTTAATTTTTTCTAAAATAAATCTAATGAAAATGTTTTTGCTCTAATATAGAGTATAATTTTTATTTAATTGATGTCAAAATTTGTACGATTTGACTAAATAAAGGCAAACATGACTAATAATATAAGACGAGCGAGGTAGTATATTGTACATCCTCCCCATAAATATCGCCTCAAATTTGTATCCATTCATCAATTATTTGAAAAATTAAAATATTTTTGTCGCATCTTGTTAAATAATTCTTTTGACGTACTTTTGAAATATGCAATGTATACTTTTAATTTCTATACCAATTTGTAAATAAAAATATTTCAGTATAGATGAGATTTTGTATGTTGTTTAGAGTGTGACATTATTTTTTAAAAAAATGGACTGTAATCTACAAATTACAAACATTAAAAATCATACAAGGTATATATGGTCTTAACGAGACCAAGTCCACATGAGCTCGCCGCAGAAGCGGGATACATTAGAGAAAAGAGTTGAAAGAGGCTCTCGTGAGCGGACTATCACGCGTCAGTCGGGTACCTTGACTCTCTCCAAATGAGGAACGAGCGCCAACACCGGACAATGCATTGCCACCCTCTAGCTCTTGCGTGTTTACCTCGGCACCCACTGCCAACCCCGAGCATGAATGATGACCAATGGGGATAAAGATTGTGGGGGGGGCTCATGTTGATAACAGGAGAATTTTCGATACGTTGTTGGATACCGAAAACTCCTGTTAAAAAAAGAAATGAATGAAATGGAGTGAAAATATAGAAAATGTGAAAAAAATAAATGGATGAGTAAAGTGTTGGAAGTACGGGATGGCGAGTCCACAAGGATAGCGTGATTGATTAGGAATTGAGTGCAAATTGCAACTAAACACTAATATCAAATTGTAATATGTGAATCCAGCCAAATATCCATGTCTCAAGGTTCTATCATCTACAAATAAAAAATAATATTGTATGTATAATAAAATATATAATGTCAAACACTTTCACCTTATTGAAAAGATAAATACTAGAGTGGCAAGTATAAAAATACGAGTAGTAAAATACACAAAATTATTATGTAGATATTTAATTTTTTATTTTTTGATTATTTATAATCATTTAATCTATAGGTAAGTTACATAAATAGTAAAAATTGGTATATATTGTAATTTGTGTCTTTGTTATTCTAATATTTATCCATCCAAAACCCCATGGCCACAAGTTTAGGGGGTGTATTCATTTTAGATTTTAAAAGATTTTGATAGATTCTATGGATTATATGAAATTCATTGATTGGTTTAACTCCACGTAAAGTTGGAGAGATTTTATGAATAGGATTTTAAAAGAATGTGTCAATCCACCGATTTTAGAAGGATTTGTTAATCCAACACAATGTCGTGATTCATCTCTTCGTCGCAATATGAAAGTTCATAGTTCTGGGCGCCGATTCATCCAGCTTGTGTCTGATATGCGTCATTGGCATAGAGCTCCATCTTGATTCAACCGGCAAGGGTACTTCCAATGGTAACAATCGCATCCGATCTGCGTCACTTACTGTGACGTCGCACGAGTCCCCGACAGAGATTGTGAAATGGAAGTTGCTAATTTGCGTTTTACCACGTACGGAATGAAACACGTATGTTTTCCCACCTTAAAATAGAATAAGATGAACCCTAGGTTGTGTTGCAGAGCGAGCGGGAGCCCATGGTTCGAAAATGTTGAAGAAAGAGGCTACGAGGAGAGAGCTTCGGGACCGATGGAGAGGCATCGAAGAGGAGGAAGACAATGGCGATTGGGTAGTACCTAGGATCTCTGACGACCCTGAGATTTGATGTCCATGAAAAAGAGGAGACGATCGGACTTGGATCCTTAAATCTTTGGTTGAGAGTAGAGATTTGTTTATAGACTTTTTATTATAATTTCTACCTTTTATTTCATTAAAATTCATGTAGAGTACAAATGTTTAAAAATTCATGAAATATTGAATATCATTAAATTTAGATAGAATTTTTAAAATCTAAATTGAATATATTTGAACTTTATATGACTTTTTAAAATTTGAATTGAATACATTCAGATTTCAAACAACTTTTTAAAATTTGAATTGAATATCTATAAAATTTTATAATCTTAAAAATTCTTTAAACTCTAAGGGGCTGTTTGGCAACTTCTGAATAGGTAAGTGCTGAATCAGTAAGAGGTCTGAACCATTAAGTGCTGAACCAGTAAGAGGTTTGAACCATTAAGAGCTGAACCAGTAAGAGGTTTGAACCATTAAGAGCTAGTATATTGCTTAACTATTCAGAGGCAAATGTCTCATCAATTCAGATAAGAAGTCTTTACCATTCAGACTCTGTATAATACTTAACCATTCAGACATCCGAACCATTAAGAGGCTGAAACAAACAGTCTGAACCATTAAGTGCTGAACCATTCAGACATCTGAACTATTAAGAGGCGGAAACAAACAGTCCCTAAGTCCATTACACCCCTTAATGTTAGAAGAACTAAAATCGGATTAGTAATTTAATACTTCCTCCGTCCTATAATGATCTTCCCAGAGCACTATTTCAACTTCACGGAAATTTATATTTATTTGTTTTTTTTCATGGCCTATATGATAAAATAAAATATTCTTGTCACCACTTGTTTTGTTGAACTTTTGGTGTAGTTTTTAAATATGTATGTTTTATTTTTTATTTCTATACCAATATTTAAATAAAATAAATTGAAAAAACTTGGGATTTTTTTTCGTTTTGCGAACCGGAAAGATCATTATAGGACGGAGGGAGTATCATCTCCAAAGTTTCTCTAAAATAATTTGGCCGCCTATCATTTTTGAAGCTCCGTATTTTACCGTTTTGGGCATTTTCCCAAAAATATTTGCTCTACCTTCCCCAACAAAACCGGTGAGCGTGCAAAGACACCGGCGCCGACATTCATCACTCCCCTGAGGTTCTTCTCTCTCAGCTTCTTCCCCGCCGGGAATTACTCCGACCGTATCCGCGCAGTAATATGATCGTTTCTCTGCTTACCGCCGTCACACTCTGCACGATACCTCCGCCCGTTCGTTCCCACTACCACTGGCCGTCCGCCGGCGCCGCTCCCCTGCAATCGGAGTGGAGGTCGGCTCGCGCCACCTTCTACGCCCCGGCGGATCCGCGAGATGCTGTCGGCGGGGCCTGCGGGTTCGGGGATCTGGAGAAGGGCGGCTACGGCAAGGCCACGGCGGGGCTGAGCACGGTTCTGTTCGATCGAGGCCAGATCTGCGGCGCCTGCTTCGAAGTCAAGTGCGTGGACGACACGCAGTGGTGCCTCCCTGGAACTTCCATCATTGTGACGGCGACGAACTTCTGTGCTCCCAATTACGGCTTGGAATCCGGCGGCCACTGCAACCCGCCCAATCCGCACTTCGTGCTGCCAATCGAGGCATTCGAGAAGATTGCGATTTGGAAAGCTTCAAATATGCCGATTAAGTATCGCAGGTATCATTCTTAACATTACTCCCAGGGCAATTCTACCCTACATTGTCCCGTTTTTAGGTACACCCATTGAAATTCGTACTCGTATTATTAATTTCTGGTCCTAAAATTTTACTTGTTTCAAAATTATCGTCTCACTACACAATCTCATTTCTTGTAAAACTATTTTGTTTACAAGTTAGTATAGAAATAAAAGATACAAATTACATTTTTAAAAGCCACGGAATGCATCACAAATACAAAATAAGAAGAGTAGAGAACATTTTGTTTTATCAAATGGTCAACGTAAACATACAATCAAACAACAAACATATAAAAGTTATTGAGATGTCAGAATAGTAATTGTGAATCTGTGATCACTCGATCTTCAAATCAAATAAACTTTATGCTTTCATTCGAAAAGATGATGTTCTTCCGTCCTTACCCCTTGCCCCACCCATAATTCGCCCCCTCGCCCGTTGACAAAGCTAGTCCAAGCTATAGACCATTTCTCACTCGCTTGATCGGCTGATTGGTTGGTTTTCTTGAACAGAATTAAGTGCAGAAAGGAAGGGGGAGTGAGGTTCACGATAACGGGAGCGGGGATCTCCCTGACAGTGCTAATCAGCAATGTTGCTGGTGCGGGCGACGTGGTGGCGGTGAAAATCAAGGGTTCGCAGACAGGGTGGCTTCCCATGGGCAGAAGCTGGGGGCAAAATTGGCACATAAATGCCGACTTCAAAAACCAACCTCTTTCGTTCGAGCTAACCACGAGCGATCGACTCACCCTCACTTCTTACAGTGTTGCTCCCAAAAATTGGAGCTTCGGGCAGACCTTTGAAGGTAAGCAATTTGAACTATGAATCTTAACCAGTGCGGCAAATTAGGCAATGTGTTGACTTGTTCATCCCACATCGCCAATGCAGCCTTATATTGTGCTGCTATTTAATAGCTTGGGTACCTCAACCTCTTGAGTTAACTTTTGGGGTTGAATTGGGCCCAAGTCTATTGTTTCAACACAATGAAAGAATTCATATATTTATCTCTGTAAAAAAATGCCACTGCTTGTGTGTGTGTGTATGATTGCGTGTGGCAAAATGTGATTAGAAATACCAAACAGTGCTTAGATTTTACGCCATTTGAACGCAAATGTGCGAGATATGATGAAAAGGATGCAATTTTTTGATGAATCTTATGAAGCAACGCAAACTAGGCGATGAAAGAATTCATATGACTTATGTTCTTTTGACACAACCCCGGGCGCGGCACACGAACCTTTTGTCCCCATTCCCTGTCTCAACTCCGTGTCTCATCCCTAAAATTGTGGCACATAACCCACCCTCACCACCCTCCCCCTATGTACAATGCCCCTATCCCACCTTCCCTTGAGGTGAATTTGTGTTAAATGATGAGTGAGTGTGAGTTATGTGTCACAATTTAGGAGTGGGAGAAGGAAGGGGCAGAGGATCGAGTGCCTAAACCCAGTGACATACATTACTTCTTTGGATTCTAAAGTGATTCTTGTTGATGCTTTTAGTGTCACTGGTTTTTTTAAATGTAATTAGTTTTACTTTATAAATTGGATGAAAATTTTAATAAATGTTCATAAGTTTAGAGGTGCGGAGTACGCTCGTTCAACGATATTACAAATTTTTTAGGAAGGCCACCGAGGGCAACCAGCTCGGTAGGTGGCGGGGTTGAAGAGGTCGAGCCTGTGGCTAGGGTTGAGTTGCGGGTCAGCTTGATTTTTTTTTTTTTGTGACAATTGTTGCATTATGAATATCCTATGGATTTTCATAAACAGATTCCAAACAAAAGCTACATTCGAATGTAAGCATGTTATATTCAAATGTAGTATTAACCATCTGTGACCTTTGCGAAAAGACATGTATATACATTCGAATGTCTAACTCTAACATTCGATAATTTGATGAATCCAGACATTTATTATAGGCAGAAAATTATTTACGAGTGACAAGAGTTTTGTCGAAATAACTCTCAGGTCCCTCTATTTTTAAGAAGACAATTGAGGTCCTTATATTTTGTTATAATGACTGGGAGGGGACATTTCATCCAATATTTCATCCATAAGTGTTAATAAATGTATTTTTTTTCTATTTTCCATTACCGTTTTTTTCCTATTTTTCCATTACTCGGTTTTTTCTTTTTTAGAAAATATTTTATTTCATTTATTTTAATATAATACAAACAATTTTTAATTTTTATTCAATTTTATAGAAGAATTTCTAAAATAACACTTTAAAAAAGAGTAAAAAAAATTAAGAAAAACAAAGAAATAAAAAAAGGAGGGACCTAAGATTTATTACCTTAAAACATTTAGAAAAAAATAGGAAAAAATATAATTATTTACGTTTATGGATGAAATATTGGGTGGAATGTCCCCTCCCAGTTATTACAACAAAATATAAGGACTTCCGTGGTCTTCTTGAAAATAGAGGGACCTGATAGTTATTTCGATAAAACTTGTGTCACCTGTGAGTAATTTTCTGTATTATAGGCGCCACAACAAAGAAGTATTTACTAATTACTATGTGTAAGATTAGCTATTGACCTCGTTTGATAAAATAAGTAAGTAAAACTATAATTTAAGGGAGCGTCCAAACTAGCTGGTGTTAGCAAATGACATCAGTATCACTGGTGTCATTTTAGACTTGCTCATAATTTAAATCACATAATTTTAGGTTTTTTAAAGAAAACTGGATTACATTTTTGCATAAAAGATTAATTTGGGAATGAAGTCTACATTTTACAATCATAGTGATGGGCATAAACTATTCCTTCCGTTTGTAAACAGTTCTTGTTTGAATTTTTTATCAATTTATTTTTCTAATTTGACATTCTAGTTACTCCCTTCGTTTCAAATTATAATGCTTGTTCACTATTCACAGAGTTAAACTTTATTCACTTTCTTTCTCTATTTTTGTTAGCAATTTGATAAAATAAACTATTATTGTCACTATTAGTTTTGTAGATCTTTTGATGTAGTATTTTGATATGTAATTTTTATTTTTTAACTCTATACCATTTGTTATATAAAATGATTTGAAAATAATTTTAGTCAAACATCGTAAACCAAAATAGGCGTTATAAAATGGGACGGAGGGAGTATATATTTTTAGTGCTAAAGAGAAAAGTGAGACAAATCACCTTAAATAACTTATTACTCCGATCACTACAAAATGAATGTAGTATATATTGTAATGGCTTTATGTAGATATACTTCGTATTAGTCATTTTATTTAAAAAATGAAAGTATTTTGTTAAATAAGTAAACATTAAAAGAGAAAGTGTATTACTCCTTCCGTTCCAAATTATTTGTCATATTTGCTTTTTCAACAGTCGTGGAAACATTTGTTTATATCTACGTTTTCATTGGTTATTTGATAAAATAAAAAGTTCTTGACACCTCTTATTTCAAAGAACTTTTCATGTAGTTTTTTGATATGTAATTTTTATTTTTTATTTCTTTACAAATATGTAAATAAAATGAATTAAAAACATTTGATATTTTGTCTCAGTAATAGAAAAATGTGACAAATAATTTGGGACGGAGAGAGTATAAAACGGTTGGAATGCTCGTAAACCATTAAAAGTTTAAAATATTCTAAATAAAACAAAAGTGGCATATTCTAATCTTATGGTTTATATGGGCCTGGGAGCCATGATTATTTCTGTTATGGATATGCCCACCAATTGTTCAAAAAATGAAACTTCTTCGGCCCAATAATTCATGGGCTAGCCTTTGGCCGATTTTATATCAATGCTCGGCCCGGTTCAACGGTCATCATATTTTATAGGGCCAAAAGTATATGGGCCTCGATAAAAAATTGAAAAAGAATAAAAAAAAAGGAGAAAAAAATATAAATTTTTGTTAAAAACTATTATCATGTTAAAAAGTTGGAGAAAATATTAAGCTAGGAGTTACAATGTCAACATATAATACCAACAAAAATATGAAATGCCAACATACCGCATCACATTGTTATAGTGCATATTCTTATTTTAAAGATAAAAACATATAGCTTCTATTTTGGAGACAATGACTACGTTACTATAAGTGATTCTTTAAAAGGGGTTTGACATTAACTTTTCCTCTCTCCTACAAAATGGTTATATTGTTTTTATCAATGAAAACTTTCCGTGATTAATATTTTCTCTTTCCTTTCATCTCGTGATTCATAATTTTTTTTAAATTTTTAAAATATACTATCTATATTTCATATAAAAAATTCAACTTTGGTTTAGGATGGTTGATTATGTGAATAGTAGTATGACAGTTATTTTTTAATTTCAAACCAATTTTCAAATAAATTGAATTATAAATAATTTGAATCAACGACAAGGTTCTGTTGACAATGGTTTCTAGTATCAACGGATGCTTTATTCACAAAATTGATAGTTCATACTCCTTAACCCCCTCGCTAAACCACTCACCCTCTTACCGATTCCAAATTTGTGGCTATTATTCATTGTGTAATAGCCACACATTTGGAGTGGGTAAAGGGGGGTCTAGGGTAGGGTTCACGCGTCGGACTAGGGTTGCGGTGGGTTTGGGGATTTATGGAAGAAGTTAGGTTTTTCATTTGAAATACTAGAAGAGCTCCAAATGGGCGAGGACAATATGGTGACACTAGAAACCAGGGTCAACAAAACTTTTCCCTTGAATCAAACATACTTTATATAATAAACAACTGCGAACAATTTAAAATGATTGGGACTGGATGATAATTCAATTATTACTCCCTATATTCGATTTGTCAATTCTTGAATATCCATTAAATTAATTTTGGATACCCCTCCAAAAAAATAATCGATGAATATCTATCGAATCATTATTGGTAATTAGCAAATTCATTAGGCTCTGTCGTTTAATGAGTTGCCTGTTTGGCCATTTGGTTTGGAGTTCTTTGTCTTCATCTTTCTCTTTAGCTGTATAATCAACTTGGTATGTGAAGAAAAAATACAGTACATTTTTAAAGCTCCGTTAGAGTTAATTTTACAATTTGTTCCAACATCAAACTTTAAAATTTGAATCGAAAATGACATGTCCTAATTGTGATTAATATTTGAGTTAGAGGAGCGTTAAGTCATTTATTTTTTTTATGAAAACTAAAAAAATCAAATTATCACTTTAAAAATCTATTTAGATATTGCAGAATTTTATTGTGCAACTGAGGTGCTGGGTGGAGTGATTTTGTAAAAACAGAGCGATTGTGAGACAAATGGTGTGATTTATTAATTTTTGTAGTATTCTTGTTATATTAGATATTTGTCAGAGTATTGTTATAAATTTTTCTAAAATTTAACCATTCAAATATTGTTTACAAAGATAATTTTAAAAGGGATGGAGTACAATTTTCATTATTCTAAATTAATCTAGCGACCCGGGGTCAAAGTAGATAAGATGTGGGGAACATGTAATAACTTGGATCCACGAAACTAATTAGCGTCTAGGCCCATTTAAGCCCAATTTATTGTCTCTATTGTGTTGGCAGTATACACTACAGAGCATTTTAGTGACAGATTCTTACGAGAAATTCTTAGCTAAGATACGACTGTTTCACCAAGTAATTCTTTTGAAAAATGAAGCTATTGATACTGCACATGTACTCGGAATAAGCTCCACATTATCTTTTTTAAATAAAATACTACCTCCGTTTCTCAAAAGAGTTCCTCTTTTGACTTTGGAGAAAAATAAGGAAGTGTTAAATTGTAGTTGACTTTCCAATTTTGCCCTTGATGTGATGAGTAAAAGTAAGATGTGATAGTTTAGTTGTTAGTGAAAAAGTATGATGTGATAGGTAGGGTATGAAAAAGTAGGGGTAAAAGTGGTTTTTTAATAGAAAGGGGAAGTGTTTTAAGAAAAACAAAAAAAATGAAAGAGGAAAGATTTTAAGAAACGGAGGGAGTATTTTTTAAGAACCTGCGACTGAAGATGTTCTTAGAGCATTGCAAGAGAGAATTTAATCTTCTTTTTTATCCAGTCATTTCAGCATTTCATTATTTTAAATTATTTTTAGACATTGACTTATAAGACTTTTTTTGTATTAAAACATTAAAAGCATATTACTAGTATATGGGGAAAATACCTCAAAAAATGAAACAATGAAATTGGACGGTCTAAAATTTAAA